CCCCGGGGGGGGGGGAGCTACACCTTAGCGAGGATGGTTAGATGAACAACCTTTATCGGAAAATTTTGACTAGTATATGTATTAAATATCGATATTTTTGGATGTATACTAATTATTGAATACCCTTGACATAATAAAGAAAGATAGCATAATGGTTAAGGCTGTTCAAAGTCACCTTAATTAATGGCCTGAGTTTGAACCTAGACTTGGGTATTATTGTTCAATCTTCTTTTGTTCCGTTTTTTCTCTTAAAACAGAGAAGGGTTCGAACCCAAATTTAGGCATTTTTATTCAATCTTTTTTTGTTCCGTTTTTTCTCTTTAGAAGGGAGAAGGTTTTTTTTTAAGGGAGAAGGGTTCGAACCCAGACTTAGGCATTTTTGTTCAATCTTTTTTAGTTCCATTTTTTCTCTTAAAAAAGAACAAAATTGACGTTTTTAAGTTAAAAAAACAAAAGGTTCGTTTTATAGAGATCAATAATTGAGGTATGACTATTTTGTAGCTAATCTTTATAATCTTGACTAGCAAGGTTTATTTTTTTACTTGTCCTAAAGTATGAACACCCTTGACGAAAATCCTGACTCCGCCACTGCTCCTCACATCCTATAGCTAACCCTTCACACCTTTTTGTCAGATTATTTATGCATCTCATCACCACATGTCCAAACCATAATTCAATCTCGTCTCCCTCGTCTTGTCGAACATGGAGGCTACTCCACTTTATCATGAATATCATCATTCCTAATCCTATCTCTCCTAGTAATACCCCACACATATATCTTAACATCCTCATTTCTAAAACTCATATTTCTTGAACATGTGAATTCTTGATCGGTCAATATACAACATACATAGCTTGGTCTGACAACCATTTTACACAGCATAGTACTACTTTTGTTTCCTAAGCTTTTTGTTGCCAGTTTGACTATTTTAATAAGGAAGAATAGTAATAAACAGAAAATCGTCAGTGTGCTAGGGAGTCACAAATAGACCACAAATAATTACATGCAAACCATACAATTAAAATGAAAATTTGGAAATACAATACATTTGATCATATTTTGGAATTGAAATTAAATGGTAATTGAATTGTGATAACTTCAATTTTTAGTTCCAATTCATATTCTTGATCGATATACAAAGTAAATAAATGTAGTATAGTACTCATTTTGTAAACCATGAGGATTATAATTTTAAGTTACAAACATTTAAATGATTTGAACCGCGCTTGGTGAAGTAAGTGTGCCAGGGCTAAGAAGAATAGAAGAACACCATGCAAAAGAAGATGGCGATAGAGGAAAATTAGCTAGTGGACTACACAATCCAAAATAATTTTCTGATGGAATCCGGGGCGTTACATGTGAACTTTCTTGTGCATCACACGTTGTTAAGTCAATGCACTCGCGCCATTGTGCATCAATATTGTTGTTTTTATTATTTCTTTGTAATGAAACTGGTGAGAGATCAAGTGGAGGAGGAGCAACATTTTGTAGACGTCTCGAATTGAAAGAACTAGAGCCAGAGCCAGAGCCAGAATCAGAACGAGAGATAGAATCATTGGAGATAGATTGAAACTCGGGAGATGAAGTGAGCATTTGGACAACATCCTTGAAATTATTAGGTTCAACTCTATATATTTTAGGAGGTGTTGGTGGCAAAGGTGCAATTGGTAGTTTAGTCATTGGTTTTGTTGGGAGCCTTCTAACTCCATGGAGTGAAGAATGATATGAGGCTAATTTTGTATTTTTCTTCAATTGTTGTGGATATGTGGAAGAAGAATTAGAAGAAGAAAAAGAAATAGCATATGAATAAGAATCCATTTATGTTTTCTATGTTGTAAGTTTTTGTCTTAACAAGAAAATAATTTTTTTATCAAGAAGAATTCATTTGTTGCTTTTGCTCTTAGCTCTTGCTTACATATAGAGAGACACAAGGTGACAAGACTCAACAACTTGTCTTAAAATTAGGATATCTCAATTCTCAATACCGAGTCATTCAGTTTCAGAATTTTGAGTTTAGAAGTTCGAAATTTTAGAAAAGACAGTATTTTACTCATTTTGGATAGAATATTTATACTTATAAGTGAATTACTTAATATTAAGATAAGTTTTTTTGTTGAAATTATCGAGTTCTATTGAATCTGTAACTAGAACTCTAGCTCCGCCTCGAGCGAGAATACAAGATAGAAGGAATAAATATTGTCTAATGCGTCGGCTATGGTTGAATATAATGTCACATTACAACTTGTCATGTCTTTCTAGTGTACTACTTGTCTTATTTGACCTCTATTACAAAATTTCATCTATTTTTGTTTAATTATTTGTTCCATACATTATATTGTCCCTTTGAATTCCTCTGTATTATTAAGTCATAATATAATGTGTTATAAATTCATGATATGATTTTCAGTTGCTGGAGTAGGAAGGGGACTGACATGATAAGTTATTATATGTATAAGATAATAAAGACATTAAGAATCTGAATAATTACATGATTTCGTATTTATTAGAATTAGGGCAAATAAAAATTAAGACAGTCTAGTCTGACGTAAGTAAAAAATGTCTAAGTTATGATCGTTGGGGTTCCTTGCTCATAGTTGGCATCCCTTAAGAGGGGTGTGAAGAGTTCTAAGGCGGAATCAACTTTGTTATCTGTAATATGTTGCTTTCATAAGAGGGGAGGATTAATCACTGTGTCATACAACAGAGCAATATTCATTTATTTAAAAATTTCATAAGAAAAAAAAACACGAATCGTAGTGTAAGATCTTATTGACATAAAAACTTTTTATGTTATCCGCAATTAGGTGGGGGTGCTTACGAATGGAAGTAGCCGATTGCTTAGTGGCGCTAGGTATAATTTGGGCAAATCTAATTAAATTCGGAAATTATTTCTCATTTGGTAGTTGAAATTATGATTCGATGTTTGCTTAAGTTCTTGAGAAATTCAAATTTCTGTTTTGGGATGAAATTAACTTCTTTGATATAAATTTGATATTTTAACTAAGGTCTTAACCAAGATTTGATGTATAAACACCAATTTCAGGACTGAGGATTGAAAGTTCAGCACAATATTTTAAGTTCGAGCTTTAGAAGTGAAACTTATTGAATACTTTTAGAATATTTTTTGGAAAGCAACATATTCATGTACATAGTCGATCAATAGGTCTAAAATCAATTTGTTGACGTTAACTGTATATATTTGAATTTTATGATAAGGTACAATGAACCTTCATATATATAATTTAATTTATTTATTTAAGATGAATTTTATTGGATAACTATGCTAAAGTTTTGAGTAGAAACAGCCAATATAAAGATTCAACTTATTGACTAATAAGAAAATTTAATTATATGACAAAGACAGAAGAGATTGCTTACAATTATATATTGTTTATGTGACCATCCCACAAATAATTACACTATTATTATTTGGAAATAAACAACTTTTATATTTGATTGCGATATTGTCATATTTTTTTTATATGTATTATTTAAATAGGAGGTAAACAAAATAATTTTTTCTACCTCTAAAAGATAAGAATAAGATTTGTGTACATTCTATTATCATTCTTATACTTTATCTGTGAGACTTCACTGAATCCAATGCTTCAAATGTGGATATTCTAAAACTAATGATTTCTGTCGAACTCACATATATACTACTTCCAACTCTTCGAATAATGCAACTAAACGTCTCTGAGTTTCGAGGCCAATCTGGAATTTAAATTCGATGAATTTAACTTTTATGATTTTGAACACTAATAAACTTATTATACTTTTTAAAATTATTGATCCATAACCTTGTATTTATTTTATAAAATATTTATGACTTTTCACATTTGAAAATGTTGGAACCTATTAATCAAAGTCAGCCAAATATTTACCTTCAACTCATGCATTAAATTTTCAAGTTTCTAGTTGTAGAAGTATTTAATGATTTTCAAGTCTATGCTTCTATGACTTCAAAGTTACGTAGTACTCTCTTCGTCCACTTTTAATTGTCATATTATCCTTTTTTAAAGTTAAACTATAAGAATTTTGACTAATATTTTACGATATATTTTTTCATCATATTGATATGTAAAAGATTGCAATTTACAATAATTTTGGTATAATTTTTGAATATTTAAATTTTTTGTTTAAAATATCGAATTAATGTAATATAATTTAACTTAATTTGAAAATTAATCAAATTGACTTTCGAAAAATGTAACATGACAATTAAAAGTGGACGGAGAAAGTATATAGTTATGATATAGCAAATGGGACCAAGTCTTGCAATTTTCAAACTTAATTAAAATTATTCAAACAAAGAGCAATATGTTAGAAAAATTGCTCATCGGTCATAGCTAATAAAATTTAGAATTAATGGGAAATTTTGTTATTTAACTACAAAATTTATCTGACGCTAATTTTATTTTTTTAATAGATAAATTTCAAAGATATCTTGTTAAATGTTATTTTTATGTGAAAATATAGGACTGGGAACCTAAATAAGCCACAAAAACATAAAAGTGACCAAAATAAGCCACTACTTTAGGAAGTAACTAAAATAGGCTTAGTGGAAGAAAAAATTCCACTTTATCTAATATTCTAAACGTTTTCCGTTAGTCTCATAACGTGTATATTTTAATATATAACAGAATTATTTTCTACACTTTATAAAGTGGAACTTTTTCTTACACTTTATAAAGTGGAACTTTTTA